ATGATGAGGAAGATCCAAGAAATGAAAACTTCTATGAGCTCATCAATCAAGTGGACAAAGGATAATCAAGGTACTTCTATAAGCATAACAAAATATCGAGGTATGATCAACTCTCTTCTTTAATTACCAGTAAACTCGATATTATAATTAGTATGTTATCTGTGCTAAATTTCAATTCAATATTCATGAATCACACATTTTGTCCCATTAGACGATTTTTAAATATCTTAGTAATATTAAGGCATTATGTCTAAAATATTCTAAAGGCACTCAAAAGTTAGGTATGCATTAAGAATCCGAAATTTGTGGTTAAATTTGTTTAAAATGGAAAATTGCATTTTCTTTAATTTTCGGTGGACCGTCTCAGCAAGATCGGCCGACCATTTCATCAAGTTCGGTCGACCGAACTAGCTCGATCGAAAAGAACTGAGGCAACCCGAAAAATTGTTCTGCAGCATTTTCGATCGACTGAAAATGGACCAATCGACCGAAGTGTCGTGTTCAGCAACATTAAAAGCAGTTTTTGTTCATCCCAAAATCCTTTTTTTTTTTTTTTCATATTTAGTTTCATGTCATTATCATGTGATTTAACTTCTATGAATTGTGATTTGATGATGGAAAATGCATTACAATTTTTTTTTTTTTTTGAAATACACTTGTGATATTATGCATTTTCATACATATGGGAAATGGAATGAACACAAACTTGGTTATACCTGTATTCCCATTGATGCATGATAAAAAGGAAATGTGATTGATATTATGAATTGTGACTTCAATTATCTCTATGAGTTGTGATGACTTCTAATGTGATCTATTATATCAATGAATTGAAGAAATTCATATCCTTAAAATGTTGTTCTATCTTTTATGGAAAATGATATAGACCCCAATTCTTTTTCGATTGTTCGTTTATAAAAGATAGGGGGAATATTTTTTTGGTTGATTTAATATATCTTAATTTTATGTGTCGTACTCTTCCTCTCATTGGTGCTATCACTTTGCTTATGCTAAACAGAGAGATTGAGTAAGATAAATTAAAAAGGAGAAGTCTTTTATCGTTCCCTATAGTTGTGTCTTGATCTTACATGCTATCCCTTTTTGCTTATGTCAAAAGGGATGAATGGATAATTATGCATGATAAA